GCAAATTTTTTTAATGAATTTTTTTCCACAGTTTACTAAAAAATATTGAAGTAAATAAGGAACAAGTAAAGAAATGATTGGCGTGGAATAGATAAATATAGAAGTAGAAGAAAAGACCTGTATTTACCGATACGGACAGTTAGATTAAGAAAATAAGGAAAAAGGTTTGTGTGGAATAGACCCGTATTTTTACGGGTCAATTCAGCTAGTATTTAATAATAGCGTTTAAAACACCATTTTACTATCGCTTCTCGGCTAATATCAAGTAGTGGTATCTGTTCAATTTCCGGCTTCTTACTGTCATTTAGCTTGTGTAAAAGCTATTAGGAAGCAGGTATGTCATGAGGTTAAACTATGACAGTTGATATGGATTCATAGCGTTGTCACATTTTTTTTGTCTCCTTTTATGTCTTTTAATCTTAAAGAGATTCGTCCATACCGGACGTTGAACGGTAATAAAACCTTGAATGAGCGTTTCTGGGCTTCGGCCAAGTTGTATAACTAAATCCTTAAGTGGACAAAATACACAGTTTCGCCTCCTTTTTAAACCCACCCTTTAAGGCCTGTAGTAATTTTGGCTTTAGTTACAAGTGCCCATAGTTTATCGGAAATGTGTTTTAAAATTAAAAGTTTTGCCAAATACAAAAAGAACTATTCAGTTTTATACTTGTAAGTACATTCAACAAATATGGTTTAAAAGATCTAAGTTATTTTAACTTTTTATATTTTTAGGGTAAACATTTAAGACATTGAATAATTTGAAAGTTTAATTGTTCACAATTAAAACATGATGTTATTGAGACTAATGTATTAAACTAATTTATAAATCAATTTATAAAAAAGTTATAAATTAAGTCTTTATATAATTGAGTACACATAATATATAGTTTTAGTCTATAGACTCCTTTGTTATTATATTAGTTTTTGTTATTATTTTAATTTTATTTAAACTTTATTACACATTCTTGCTGTATAAGATTGGCAAGAAATGCGATTTGAACTTCTTTGGTAAATTTTGTTTCACGGTTCTCTTTTTCAAGACCGTCATGTGTTCTTAAAGAACCTTAATTAACCATTTATTACCAATTTATATGAGAAAACAGTTAGCTAAAAAATTAGAGTATCAAAGTTTAGGTTTTGCTACAACAAAATGTTTTCAAGATAAAATATCCCAGCATTAAAATAAACAAAGCAGAAACGCAAAGTTGAGAATTGTTCACATTCAATTTTTCATAATGACTATTACCTGATAATGACTAAAGGCATATCGCCTGATAATGACTAAACGCAAAGTTATGAATTGTTCACATTCAATTTTTGATAATGACATTTACATTTATCATTCTGATCATATCTGATATCATTAAAGGATATTTTATTAAAACATTATGAGAGCCATAGCTTACCAAGAAACCCTTTTTAAACCAATACGGCTATGAACTCTCAAATACTATAACAATAATGATGAAATAACAGAATTTTTAAGTTATGAAATCCTATGATCAACCTATGATCAACCTAAGTTAGTAAAGTTCAAAATAAGCGATGTTAATGATGTTATTTGAAAAAGAAACCGTGTTTGCATATTTGTTAAGTATATTGGAAAACTGTGTAAACTTTTAACTGAGTATGATTTTAATCTAAAAGAAGAGAAAAATTCAGATAACTTACATTTTTAAAAGATTATCATTGAAATCTCTGAATTTGCTTGTGAGGTTGATATTTCTCTAGACGATGTAGTGAGTACGACTAACAAAGCTTATACTAACATTTTGAACAAAAAAAAAAAATGATTTTCAAAATAATAAAAAAATGTAAAAAAGGTTAGAAATGTGGTCTATAACACAAATGTGGTCTATAACAACACAAAGATTTATTCAATTTCAATAACTAGTTTAGCCGTTTTGCGATTTACAAAACGCTAAATACCAAAAATATCGATTTTTAGATCCCTTGCAAAACATTTGAAGTTAGAATAACAGATTGCGTAAGTGTTGACCAACACTTTTATCCACTAGTTATTTTTTTTGTTTGTCGAAAATGTTTTTTTGTTTGTTTGTTGAGAATTATACACTTTTGTTTGTTGAAAAATTATTTCAATCGATTTCTTTGAGTAATATGCTCCTTTAAAGTTTTTCGATGCTTTTCCGCAAGTTGAGCAAGTTATTCTCTCTACTAGATCAAAATATTTGTTTATGATGTCTTCTATAAGCTTGATACTTTGCTCTGCAATATAATTGACACAAGAAAGATTGCATACAAATTTTTTTGAAGCCTTAAATTCTCAAACTTGTTCAAATGTTCTGATGGAACGTTTAGCCATTCTTGGGATCGCTTATTTTTGATAGATAAAAAAGCAACTAAGAGGTTTTGGTTTATTAAGAGTAAATAATTTAGATCGTGGTAAGTTTATAAGTTTCGAACCCATCATAGTCTTTTTTATATAACTCACAGAGTCGTGGAACAAGAGAAAGACTACTTGCTCCTCAGATAAGTATCTCAGGTGTTGTTTAAAAGACTTGATGGTTCCTTCTTTCAAGGTTGTTTGATTTAAATTTTCTCATTAAATAAAAGAAATGCAAGTCCTTAGCTGGAGCAGCATCAGTAATAGCAGATTGAAAAAAGTACTCTACGTAAAAAATGCAAATGTACTCGGCCATCCTTTCAACCTTTTTTGCTTTTTCTTTATCATTAAGTTCAGAAGTACGAGATGGTAGGAATATTTTTGTATAATAAATGGCTTTTGACATCCACCTTGCATGATGATCAAAATCGCCATACCGAATGCGGAAACCTCTTTTAATATTTCCATCGAAAAAAAAAGAATAAGCTTTATTAGTTTTCAATAATCCTATGGAGAAAATATTTCTCCAAGCATTCCATTGGCTATTTCTTTACTTCAAGTGCTTGTTGAAATAAAAAAAACTATTTTAATGATGAGGCGAACCTTACACTTGAAGTTCTGTTATGTTCTTGTTAAAGTTATGAAAGTCTTTCTTGAATCTTTTAATCAGCTGAACTCTTGGTGATTTGTTCGGACCAAAAAAAACATTGGATTTTGCTTTCATAACAAGCTCTGGAATATAATTTCTACATTCAAGTCGGAGTAGAGAACGACCAATTTGCTTCTCATTTATCATTGCAGCTCCATTATAGGCTTCACTGTTTGTAGATGTTTTATCATAGACAAATGCAATAACAGATGCTTTTAATTGCCATTAATCAAATTAATGACCAGATTTGTCGGCGATTTTAGGAGTACTTATAAATTTAGGAGGGAGTCCTGTATATACAGCAAATTGTTCTTCTTTTTTTCCAGTTACTTGCTTAAAAGTTTTTCCATTCCCATGAATTTCCAAAAAAGTTAATTTAGCTTCTTCAATTCTGTTAGCTGATCTTGCTCTATGAACTGTTGTTTTAGAAGATGTAATAACATTTAAAGCTGCTCCATCTACTGCTAAAGTCTTTCCCAAAGGCCCCCTTCCCCCTAAAAAAGGGGGAAGGGGGCCTTTGGGAAAGACTTTAGGTTTTGTTTTTTTTGCCATATAAATTTATTCATAACATAAAACATATGTAAATACAAATAGCAGGGGCAAGAAGAAGTTTTTTTTTTATTTGTCTTATCGCCAAGCTCCTTAATCTATACCGTCATACACAATAATAAAATATAAAAATTGTAAAACTACAGTACTGCAGCATATAAAATAATGTTTATAGACTTTTTATATTTACAAGAAATAAACAACAAACAAACAAAAAGATAAAATTCATAGGTCCTGAATGCCCCTCTCTAACTATGAAAATCTACTTCTTTTCTTATTTTAATATAACAAAAGGACAAAAATTAAAAACCAAAGTAAAAGCAAATACTATAGTATAGTAAAAGATTATATATTTAAAAAGCATGCACACAAATACTCATAATCCTGAAACTTTCCTTTTAAACCAGTATACACCTTTACATATACATCAGAAAAAAACATGCGCTACGTTGCTCATCAGCAGTCTATGCTTCAATTTGGTCTTAAACTCATTAAGCGTTGCAATTGCTTTAAGATCATTAGTTAATATTTTATTCCATACTTTTGGTCCTCTAGTAGAAATTGAAAATTTAGTATTCGCAAAATAATTTGTGGGCTGATGGTAGCTGTTATACGAGTATCTTGTTAAGTATCTGTTCAGATTTATTTTGAATAGCGGGTTAAATATTTTAAGAGATAAATTTTTATTAATTTTAAACATAAATATAAGAAGATCATAGATGTTTAATTGGTAGATATCCATTATATTTAACTTAATAAACAATGCTTAGGAATGTGTAAAACGTCTCACATTGGATATGATTCTGATTGCATGTTTTTGTTTGTTAAAAAGTTTTAATTTTATTTTTATTTGTACTGCACCAAGCAAAGTTTGCATAATTTAGATGACAATGAATGAAAGAGAAAGATAAAAATTTTAAGCAATATAAATTTAAAAAATGTTTTGCTCTACAAATCAGAACAATGTTCTAAGAGATTTTACTTTTGAGATAATGTATGTGATCTCTCCACGTCACATTTTCATCAAGCAGAACACCGAGAAATTTTAAAGTGATTTCTCTTTTTACGTCTTGATTGTCAATACAGAGTTTTGGAAGTTTTAAAGGAATATCATCTCGATCATGAAAATAATGGAAAAAAGTATATTTTGTCTTCGTTATATTTAGTGATAATTTATTTGTACTGAACCGATCAGTAAGATTTATTTTAAGTTAGAAATAAACTAAAAAAAGTTATGATAAACTTTCATCTTAACACTTTTGCACTTTTATACCGGTTCTTGTGAATGTTTAAGTTTCCTTTTTTGATTTAAATTTATGTTGCTTATAATTTATATGAATATGAATTTATAAAAACTACAATTTACTTCAGAAAATAAGATAAACTGCATAGTTTAACTTACACAACTAATTGTTAAACTGTGACACATTAAGTTTTTATATGGGGAAACAATATTGATAAGCATGACACTGATAGAAATAATCTTTTTCAATATTATTCAATAATTTAGTTATAAAATTTAGTTATGTACAATATAAATTGTATAAATAATTTATATATTTTTAGTGATTAGATTGTGATTTCTTCATCGTCACCGGTTGGTTCTTCATCATCTGGATAACTTTGACAAATAACTGGATAAAAATTAGGTAACGTAGCGTTGTCGGAAATTTTCTCGTCTTTGATGCACATTTTTAAAGGTCAATACTCCGTTAATATCTAAAAATTAAGTTTATCATTATATATATATCCTCATACGTAATCTTTTACTTTTTATACATTTACAGAAATTTATTAAAAATAGAAAATAAATCCAAAAAATGTGGTGGAGTTTTATTAAGCATTAGGTGCAAATACTAATTGGACGTCTTTTCTCAAACGAAAATAATTACTGTATATTAATAACGACAACTGTGTATGTGTTTGTGTGTAAGTTTGTGTTTGTGTGAGTGTATGTCTGTGTGTGCGTATAGGTTTTTTTGATGCTATACGCACACACAGACTCGCACTCTTACTTTAAAAAAAAATACAGTTTTGTTACATAGCACCACGAAGTTTCATTTTACCGATGCTGCTAGTTTAGCGGCGCCACGGCTACTAATTTGCAGGTACATAAGCGCCACGATTGCTAATTTGCAGGTACATAAAATATTTGAAATTTGATGTTTTCAAATTTCAAATATATTTTATTAAAAACTTATTTTATATAATGTTGCATAAATTTAATGCAGCATTATACAAAAGTTAAATAATTGAATTTTTAAAATTTGCTTTTTAGTAAGTGTCAAGTGAATATATACATATATCTTATTTGTATTCATAAATCTAAAAACTCACGTACCTTATTTATTTTTTCCACTATTTTGTACAGGTTGTTCTCTTCAGCTGACTTGAGTTTTAAGAATTGCTAAGGTTAAAGTGATCTTGAATATCCTTCACCTTATATACAAAAATATTATTTTTATAGCTATTTTTAGAAACATTTGTGTACTATTTTAAAAAAAATGTTTTTCAATTTAATGAGTCTGTGTTTTTAAATAACTTTTGCAAATATTTAATCTATTTTTTTTATGTTTCTATATATAATTCAATTTAATTTGTATTTTATGTAATTGAAATATCTATTTTTGGAAATAATAACTTATTTTTGCTTATATTTGTATAGCCCTATATCTTTATTTCTTGTATAAGATTTTTTAAATACTTTTAACAGTATGTATGACTAATAACACTGTTTAATAATGATCTAAATATAATAACAATTTAAATAAATATCTATTAAGGCATTTATAAACTAACTATATTTAAGTATTAAACCACACTTCATTATTATATTTTTATATTGGTTTTTTGTTTTGTTTTACATAAAGAAAAAGAATTACTTTTTAAAATTAGTGTTTATTTCAGAATTTTTTCATTGAATTGGTAATATCAATTTACAAAATCGCAAAACACATTTTTTTTTTGTATATATACCAATTTTTTTTGTAAATATATCAATTTGATATATTTAGGACAAAAAAAATGTGTTTTGTGATTTTTTTTCTTTAGAAACTTAAATAACATTTTTTTGTTTTTGCAAATCAAAAAAAAAACCATAATAACTTAGTTTTTTAATAAAATTCAATTTTGTAAAGATTCTTAACATTTTAAGATTACCGTTACATTAAAAAAAAAAAAACTTTATATAATGATATTTCCTGAAAATTAAATCACAAAAATTTTGTGGTTTGTGAAACCTTTATTGAATTAAATATCCACACAATTACTACAACATACTCTTACAAAAGTGACTGAAAGTGTGCGCTAAAAAAGCAGAGAGCATATTTAAATTTCCACATAAGTTTAAAGAAACTTCTTGTTAACTTGATTCGAATTAGATTTACATGACACGCAAAATAAAATCGAGACGTTAATCAGAAATTGTTTCAAGGTTTAATTGCAATAAATTTTTTAGTATTCTTTGCATATTTTGTATTTTCTTTTGTCGTTAAGCATAAATAATTTCTAAGTAGAAACTAATTTAAAAATCATGAGTCGCTTCTTTTTAGAAATTTTAGACGAAAACTCAAGCTCCGTTTAATTATTAATGCTGGGTAATATTATATAAAATTTCATACAACCATATAAATATACTAAAAAACCACAAACATATTCTGAAAATGTTTATGAAAATTATAATTTCAAATAATGCCCATGTTTAATTCCAGAGTGGATTATTTTTGAGACATTAACACTACACTGTTTTATCTTGAGTTCACCATGCTAAAGGCCACGCACTAACTTTTTATAAAAAGAATTACTTTACTTTACCTCTGATATTTTTTGCACATCGTAGACATGGCCGTACTAATAGAGATGTGTGGGGTGGAGAGTGTCCCTCCCTTAGATTTTAAACATTTTATCGGTAAAACAGTACATCCGCAGTCGACACATTTATTTCACTTTTAGATTAAAAACCTCTATAGACACCTTTTTGTCAAATCCAGGCGTAAACAAAAAAAAAACCGTTTATTTTATAGACACTTTTATTTAAGTTTAACATGTGTTTTCTGATGGTGTAAAGTCAAATTTAAATGTCGCATACTTTTATCATTGGGTTCACATTTCCCAGCCAGCACAACTCAGAAAAATATTACGCTTGGTTTCTGTTGCCTGTTTAAAACCTTCTAAAATAAAAAGATTAACACGTACCAAGAATGGTTTTTTAGAAACGGAAATTTAGTATAATATTATACTACGTTTCCGTAACGGAGAAACCTTTAATATCTTTACTGATGTTATAGTAAACAGTCATAGTTAGTTTTACGGAAGAAAATTCCTTTTATTAACGCGTGCTATTATTATTTATTTAGAGGGTTTTAAATACGCAATAGAAACCATGCGTTACTTTTTACTATATTTTGCCGGCTGGGACAGTGACATTGTCGGTAAGATTACATTATATTTAAATATCTTACATTGTATATATGTAAAGATTCTTTCTTGTTATTTATGAACAGCAAAAACATTATCAAACTGTCGGTAAATTACTTAACGCATTTTTTCAAAGGATAAAAACCTCAACAAGTTCTATTTTAGGAATATAAATTTTTGTTGATAAAACTCTAACGTCTTGTTTTTGGTTGCGGCTTTTTGTTTTTAAGAAGTTGTGTTACGTAACTTGTCAAAGATTGCTGACCATAAATTTTAACAATTAATAGACTAGTTTACTTTTACACAATTAATAGACTAGTTTTTCGCAGAAGAAATTAAATGTAATTAGAATTTTAGCATATCTTAACGTAAAAAACTTGTCAATTGTTTCTAAAACACTATTTTACTTATGTTTCTTTGAAATCGAGTGTAGTTTCTGTTCTATTTTTAGATTCTAATTTGTCTTGTGTAGAAGATGTTAGGAGGCAAGTATGACATGAGGGCTGGCAATGACAGTTGGTAGGGAGGGGTTCGCAGCGTAGTTGCTTTTTCATATAGGAATTAATTATCTATGTCCGGTACGGATATTGGTAATTGATCCTTAAGTGGGCACTTCTTGGCATTGCCCTAATGTCAAAACTAAGCAATTAGGTGGAGTTGCAATTTTTCATGTTTTGAATTTTTTCACCAAGACACTAAAAAAGGAAAATATAAAAAAAATGACAAAACTATATACCCAGTCAGTGATATTAAAAAAACCTTAAAAACTGACCTTAATCATCTTCCATATTATGACAACAGGCTATGTTAGTTTATGGGGATCCTAATTTATTGAGAAAAAAAACGTTTGCAAGTTTGAAACATAAATATGCAAATCTGTATAACGTAATTGAGTGCAATTTAAAACTAAAAGAAGTAAAAAAAAATACAGACAATTTATAATTATTAAAGATTTCATACAGTAATATGGTTTGGTATTTGCATAAAGATTTATCAAAAATTTGCCATTAAAAATAGGAATTTCCATTTCTGTGCGTGTTTTTTTATTTTTCTATGTTTTCAAAATTAGAAGCTGGGGTTTATAGCAATCTGCATAATACTATTGGTAAAACTATTTTTTCATACTTTTGATTACCTGAATGTTTCATATTTTTCAAATTTCATTTTTTTATTGTGGTACTGTCACAATAGTTTGAAAAAATACAATGATTTTGTAAACGCTATATACCAGCTAGAAATGTTTGATGACTAGTATTTCTGATCAAAAATATGTTAAACATGAGTTGTAGAGATATTTCACTTAAAATACTTATAAACAATTTATTTTCATAAAAATAACTACAGGAAATTGACTTCCGTGCGTGACCATGCATGAGTTGCATTCAAACAATTGTTGTGAGTGTTATGATAATAGAATTTCTATGATAAACCTGTAACTTTCTTGAAATCTTTACAAATATCTGAAGCATTATTAAAAAAAAAAATATTCTGCTGAAACTTATATTTTTCGAATGAAAGTTTGTCTAGTAACTAAAAATTTGCGTTTTTTTGTTCCGTGCGTGATTCCGCATTCAAACTTAAATTATTCTTTCGTAACATTAATAGTGTAGGGGAGAGTGGGGCACCATGACACACTTTTAGTTTTTGCTTTGTAACAAATTTTTTATAAGGCTACTTTTTTAAGCAATTGGTTTAATTTGTAGAATAAATTTATACCCACAAAATAAATTCTATAAATTGCCAAAATATAACAGGTTAATCTTGTGAGACTCATTAAAGTAAAATTAGAAATTTGTTTTAAGGTACCCCACCCAGGGAGTACCTTGATACACAGAAAGAGCATTATTAAAAAATTAAATAAAAAGTATAAAACTTAGAGAAAAGGCAGCTTTTTATTTGAAATATAAACAAGTTATTATTTATAACTCAAATAATGCATCCAATGGTCCAAATCACATTTCAGAAGACCAGATATTATAAGCGTCAATAAATAATGACTTTGAATTGAAATGGGATCTCCGTGTATTATATTTACATAAATCTTTTTGAAATTAACTATAAAAATATTAAAAGAAATGATTTTTAGAATTGTTTATGAAACAATGGAGTACTATGCCACAGTTTTAGGATCCCCACAAATGCTGTATCAAGTTACTCCATACTTGCTAATAGAAAAAAATCGCTTTATTTTTAATATCAAATGTTTTTTCAATAATTTTGTTAAATGAAGTAAAAAGCTTATGGGTTGCAGTTTACAAAATAATGACACTGATCGATTAATACATTAAGTAAGACATTTTAAAACCTATGAGCTTTAAAAACTAATGTCATTGTGTTTTTTTCATTACTTTGTCATCAAAAAAACACAAATTTCGACCCAACGCAGGCCTAATGATGTCAAACAATATTTTTTTAAAAAAAAACATAGCTTTAGTAGTAAATATTTTGCTATATGAAACAGAGATATAATCTATATCACTCTACAAAAGTGGTTGTCACAACTCTCCACAATTAAAATGTTTCATGGTGCCCCATGTATCAAGGTGCCCCACTCTCCCCTATACCATTCTTTGCTTACAATATATTTATATAAATTAGAATTGTATGAAAGTAATAGACAAAACGTATACGAGTCTCCAGCAAAAGCAAAAAAAAAAAAGAATTTTGGCATTTCCAAAAAAAAGCGTCATTTTTTTTTTGGAGATACCAAAATGCTAACTAACATATTTTGTTGACACTACTTATCATGTTAAAAAGACGTTTTCTAGATATCAAAGAGCAATTTTAGGTATATAAACAAAAACAAAATTCCGAGTTTTAATAAAGCGAGGCTTTATTACAATTCTGTCCTACAGTTCTACCCAGTGCCGGATCAAGGGGCTAGGAAGGGCTATAGCCCCGGGCGCCGCAAATTTAGGGATTTTTTTTTTTTTTAAGTCGTTTTTAGGCTCTGGCCCATAAAAAGGCTTCCAAAAACAAAAATAGCACCGGGCCCCAAGAAGTCTTAATCCGCCACTGATTCT